TAATTTATTATTTTAAATATTTCTTCAAAGAAGATAGAATTTATGAAACATCATACAAATAATATAAAAATAAATAACAAAAGAATGAGAAATTCACATCAATAAGAAATATAAATGATAGAAGAATGAATGAAAATAAATATTATTTATATTATAACAACAATTACATGATATGAATTATTTCATTCATCACTTCATTCTTTTTCATCATCATAATTACTTTATCATTAATTCAAATAGAAATAAACAATGATATCATAATAGATTCAAATATCACAATAAAATACATTGAAGATAAATAAATATCAAAATAAAGAATAAAACAGATTGGAAATAAATAAAATGATAGAATAGTGAATGTAATTCAATTAAATGAAAAAAATAATGAAATAGCAATAAATGAATTAATAATAAATGAATAATAAATGAAATTAAAATAAAATAGAGAAATAACATTATGATGAAATAATTCAATTAATATCACTATTAATTTAAAATACAATAAATTAATGTGAATATTATATTTATTAAATTACAATTAAATTCAAATATGATATTATATTCATTTATATTAATAAATATGAATTATACATTGTTTTATATAACGAATTATAAAAATAAATTAAAAAATAAGATTTCTAAATTTCAAGTGATTGAAATAAAGAAAGATAGAAATAAATACATTACATTCATTGAATTGTTCATTTCTTTATTATTCATATTATCAAATTATTGATATATTTATTAATTGAATATTTATCATTTGTATTATTTCATTTCTATGATATTTTATTTATTCATTTTCATCAAATAAATAAAAATAAATAATAATTTATTGAAATATTAATTGTTTCTTATTAATAATTTATATTAAAAGAATAAAAAGAAGAAAAATCGAATGAAGATTACCTTAAAAATAAATGAAGTTCAAACTAAAAATAAAAAAGAACTAATAAATAATAAAATAATAAAGAAAGAATGAAAATAGGATATAATGAAATAATGATTATCTCGGGTATTTTGAAGATATTAATGATTTTATTAATTTAGAAGTGGGAGTTAAAAGATTTCAAGGAAATATGGAACGATTTCATTTTAATCCAATTCCATTGAATCAATATTCAAGAAAATTATTTCCTAATATTGAAACATTTCATATTTATAATGAAGAAGATGAAATATTTGAAGATGGAAGAATAATTAAATATGTAATATGGTATAAAGTGAGTTATTCAAGATATTTAAAAGAGAAAGAAGAAATGAATGAATGTAAAAATATCGCATATACAGAAGAAGATAGAAATACATATGGAAATACAATACCAATAGAAGTTAATTCACTTGAAGATAAATGTTTTTATGGATGTAATATTCAATCAATTAATATACCAACAAGTATTAGTGAAATAGGAGATTATTGTTTTGAAGAATGTTCATCATTAACACCAATTACTATTCCATCATCAATTACATCATTTGGAAAGGGATGCTTTTATAATTGTGGATGTGAAGAAGAATTAAAGAAGAATAAATCAATACCAAAAAATTGCTTTAAAAAATAATAAAGAAGAAATAAGAAAGAAGATAATTGAATTATTAAAGAATAAAAAGAAATTTCAGTTTATAATTTAAATGATAAGAAATACAAAATAAACAAATTAAATGATAATAAAATAAAGAATGAAATATCAAATGAATGAAATAAAATAAAATCATTCATCATTTATTTAATTATTATGTTATGTTTATTCATTTTTAATTTATTTCATATTATTTATTTGTTTCAATATGTTGAATTGATATTTCATCTCTTATTAAATGATATATCATTCATTATATTTGTTTTGTAATAATTTTATTCTTTATTTTTATTCTTTTGTTTATTTCTTCTTCTTTCTTATTTATTTTAAACATCATTTCATTTCATACTTTTATTTTCTCTTTATACTCTTCATATTTTATTTTATTATTGTTATTTAATTCATATAATATTTGTTATTTCACTCCAATATAAAATAAATCAAAAAATTAATGAAATAAAAATAATGAATAATAATGAAGAATCAATATAAATTTAATTATATTCTTTATTTTATTTTCATAATAAATACCAATATTAATCAATTTAAATGATAATGATAATAAATATGAAATGAAACAATGATAATTTGATAAGAAAAATAATTTTATTGTATTTTCATTTATTTTATTATTCATTTAAATATATGTTATTTCATTATTTATTTCATTTCTTATTATTTTCATTTATTTACAATATTTAATTGTATCAATTTGATATAATAATGATGATTTATATTTATTTATCATGTTTTTTTCAACATAAAAATAAAATACTAAATAACAATAGAATAATTTCATAAATAATACACATTGAAATTATATATTAAATGATGATATTAATAATCATTTAAAAGAATGAATAAAATGAAAAGTAACTCATTGAATAATTAATGAATAATATAAAAGAAATAAAAATAGAGATAAATAACAAAAGAAAAGAATAATAATAGAATGAAGAAATGATTAAATTCAATTATTATTATTAATGTTTATTTATTATTTATTTAACTATTTTCATTATATTTGAATTAACTTCTCTATTTATTTGTTTTTATTTCATTGATTGATATTTTCATCAATTTCATTTATTTTATGTCTTTTATATTGTTTATTCATTGAAATTAATTATTCTTATTTTATGTTTTATTTCATTATTTCATTTTGATTCTTATTCTTTGTTTATTTATCATTTGTTTATTTTATTCATTCTCATCATTCATTGTATTATATTTTCTTTTATTTAATTGTTATTCATTGTTTATTGTGTAATTCATTATATTATTTGTTATTATTAAATATGATTAATTGAATATTGAATTAAAATAACAATTCATTTTTCATTCATTAATATTATCAATCATTAATACAATGAATATCATATTATTCATTTCATAATTATTCAAAAGATAATTCACATAAATTATGTTTCTACTGGCAACGAAAAAAAGCAAATAATTGAAAAAGAAGAGAATGAATGATATAAAAGAATAAAAAGAAAGTAAGAAGTAGAATATGATGAAGAAAGAATAAAAGTAGAAAGGAGAGAAGATAAAAATAAAGAAGATAAAGTGTAATAAAACAAAAGAGATGATAAAAGAAGAAAAGAATAGAATGAAAAAAATAAAGGATGCAAATTTTATT